TGTGTGTGTGTGTGTGTGTGTGTGTGTGTGTGTGTGTGTGTGTGTGTGTGTGTGTGTGGTCCTGCAGTGCTGCTCGGTCCCCAGGCACGTGATTCTTGTACCACGGATGGAGCAGGAAGGATGCAGAAAGCTGCAGATTCGGTGTCTGTGTGATGGAGAGCTCGCTCAGTTCTGCTGCAGACGGGTTTTTGTTTACAACAGCTGATTTTTCAGAGCAGAAATGTCTCTGCTTCTATCTAACAGATTATATAACCATAATTTAATCTGGTTGGGATCATGCTGCATTGAGCACGGGGCTGAAGGAGAGAGAGCAGCACTGCTGATGTTTTATAATCATAGTTATAATTATAGTTATAATCACAATTATAGTTAGAACAGAGCTCTTCAAAGATCCTGAACATCAAAAACTCAGATTTCTAGGCAAAAAGGCAACATAAATGAACATTTAAAAAATGTAATATTTATAATATTTTGGTTTAGTGTTAAAGGATCACTGCAGTTAATACATATATGAAATAATATTTTTTATTTTTCTGTTTCCACTTTTCTGAGGTCSTTTTTTGAATGTGAATACTGTAAATAATTTCATCTGTGATACAAAATCTTTTGCATCACATGTTGTTTGTGTTATGCAACCCACACAGTTTACAGCAAACGCATTACATCATTTAGATGAAAAAGGTTGTGTTCTCATTTATGGATGGATGACAACTAAAAAAAGATTTGTGTACTAAGGAAAATACAACAGATTTAATCAGAGAAATTGCATTTTCTGAAAAAATGCAGCATGAATTCTGAGCACGGASAGCTGAAATTAGCTGGAAAGGCTAGTTGTTAAAGCTAAAACATCTAAATGGTTAGAGGCTAAAAGTAGCAAAACTAACTAAAATTGAAAGTAGACAAAGATAAAAGGTAAAAAGAAGCAAAGCCCTATCTAAAAGTAGCAAAATGCTATCTAAAACTAAAGTAGCAAAGGTTTAGCTAAAAGCAAAAAACAGCTAATTTTAGAATAAAACCTAAAAACAAAACGTTAACAAATGCTAAATATAGCAATAAATCAGCTAAAAGCTAAAATTAGCATCAGACTAACTGAAAGCTATAAGTAACAGCGTTAGCTAAGAACTAAAAGTTGCAAAACTCCAGCTAAAATAGCAGATTAGCTAAAAGCTAAAGTAGCAAAACTAAAAGTAGCCAAGATCTAGACAAGAGYATGAAAAAGGCTGGCAGCTAAAAGTAAAATATGCTAGGTAAAAGTTATGCTGTAATAAGTGTAGCTTAAGTTCAAAGTAGCAAAAGAAGAACAACGTTTGCAAATTTGTGGAGGAATTAACAATATTTAAATTTGTCCCATGGAGACAATCTTTATTAATACAGTTCATTATTGAGAAAAGTATGCAGTTTACAAAATAAATAATACAAACCTAGCTCCTGAATGAGCTGAACCTTTTGTATGAATGGAGAAAATAGCACAAAGCATAGAGATCGCAAAACTCAGCGCTCACACAATTTATTGGTTACATTTGCCACTCTTTCCTCAAAGTGCAGGAATTATCTGGACAAAGGTAATATTTTTTCCCTTTTCTTTTTTTATCTACAGGTAGTAAGACAAAAGAAGGAGTTGTGTCGTCAGTAAACACAGGTAAGAAAGGTTCCACTCATCAAACTGTTTAAAAACTCCTACATTTTCTCTAGGTGTTTTGTTTACGAGTGTATTTTCCATCGGTTTCTCACAAAAGCATGTTTTACAAACTCAAAATCAATGCATCAATTTAAAATTTCCACAAATGGCTCGGACATCTGCAGGCCAAACTGTGGAAACACTGAAAATGATCCGTGATTCAAGCAGTGATGCTCTCACTGTGTGTGTGTGTGTGTGTGTGTGTGTGTGTGTGTGTGTGTGTGTGTGTGTGTGTGTGTGTGTGTGT